AACAAATGCATATAATTTCGTCAAAAGAAATATAAATTATAATAATGATTATTTAACAATTGTTATATACGATATAAAATGTTAATCAATGATGTTTAGTCAATAGCAATTTGTGACCAAGATAACATTTGCGTAAGCATCTTACAAACCTCGAACGAGGATGACCTTGTTTTAGTAAACACAGGTCGAAGAGCGGCTCATTCGAATAGCTGCTGAGGTCTGGTGAACATCTTTATTTTAATCGCTGCTGAGGTCTGGTGAACAACATTATGAGCTCTTCAAACAGTCCTGAGTCAAGTCCAGATACAGATCAATTTCGTTCATTTTCCCCTCTCAGTCCTGATCGACCAACACCATTTGGACCAACGCCGTCAACTAGCAACGCCAATGGGTCTACAGGCCCAGCCAGACGTGCGCTATATCCAGTGGACAACAACTGCGATGCGTTTCGTTCCTTGATGAATGCCCATGGTGAAGACGGTCCCGACTCTGAGATCGTCATCAAGAAATCGGACTTGGTGAAAATTATAAGCAACCAAGAGAAAATTCTCAAGCAACAAGGCGAGCTTCGGCAACATGTTGTGGACTCTGGTGGTGACAGCAGACGAAAAAAGAAAAAGCCACCCTTGAAAATTAAGGTATGCCAAATGTGTTTGTCACTTGTATGATATACTTGTGAGCTTGCCAAGAAGTGGGTTCGTTTTAATTATTGCTAATGGCCGTAATTGATTTTTGCTACTTGGATGTATCCAAGAGTTACAGTTGAGTAATTATATGGTGACTAAAGTGATCATATGGTGTTGGGTGTCTTATCTGTAGACTATTTATTTACTCAGTTAGTGACCTTGTCACCTAATTTAATAGCAAACATAAACATAAATTCATTGTTAGGATGTAATGTTGACTGCACAGATGGGCAAGACATTTAATCTTGCAAGCAAGCAGACTTCCTGTTGGCAGCCATGCTTGCTATAACAATAGGGATGAAACATTTTTTACTGCATGTATAATTTTAGCATTTGTAGATGTGGTATTTTAGTAAAGTGTATAATGTGCCATAAAAAATAGAATTCTTTCTCATTCACAGGCAGTTGGTGCATGATTTCTGTATACTATTTTGGTGTATATCAATATAGATGTCACCACTTCACAATGACAATAATTAAAGTTACAACCACCAAGATTACTTTTAATGCCAAAAAATTCAGCTGAACCTGAAGATCTTTAAAATATTCTGCTTAATATTCTATCGAATGAAAAAAAAACGCTAATTTTTCAACTAAATTCAAATTTTCAAAATAGCATTGCTCAAAACAAATAATCACTAATGAGTATAACACAGTATTTTTTTTTACTTTCAATAATCAGTTTTTAAAGTTATGTATTATTTCATAATTTGTTATATTGTGTGTGGTCTGTGATTGACAGCAAATAAATAGGTTTGTGCAGGTGAAAATCCACCATGAAACTAACATTTCCTAAATTACTGGTTTGTTTGATGACATACCACCTTTAAGACCAAACATAAACAATCTAACATCTTTCAACAAAACTTGGAGTCTGCATTTCATGTAATCACAATGTGCATCTGCAAATTATGAAGTCACGCTTAGTTTTGTTACATTTAATATTTCTAAAAATAGTAAGATTTTTGCTGCAACGTTTGAAAACTATGTTTACATATTCAACCAACCGATCTCTAAAGGTTTATTGTAAAGGTTTAAAGGTATATTGTTGTTATAGCAGCATAGCCAGTGTTCTCCACAAAGGATTTAAGCAGGATGTAAAGCCCCGTTTGCTTTGACTGCACCATGTTGTATAGATAGAACAATTAGCATGACAATAACAGTTCCAGGGAGCCCTTTTTGAAATTTTGTTTGTAAACACTGTTGTGGTAGAAATAATGTGATCAGTGTTGAATACATTTTGTGTGCTGTCGCAACTGCTTATTGGCAGTTCTACTGCATATGTGTATATTTAAAAAAACTAAGTGCACAATGCAAAGTAAAAAACTGCACAGTGTACTTAATGTCATTTAAAATTGTTTAAATTTTTTTTTTATGTTATAAGATAGCTGCATTCTCTAAGTCAAGCCTACGTCACAAACTGGTCAAAATCCCCCAAACATTGCAAGCAACCAATCACAGACATCAGCACTGGAAACCAAACTAAGCAATGCTTTTATGACAAACTGTGAATTTGGCAGTAACCTTTCATCAAATTTTGATGGTTTCAATGATTTCATGGGCCAGTCAGGAACTTGACACCAGTTAATCAAACATGATATTAGCATGTAGGTTACTGAGGCATGTCAACAAGAAAGTCGGAGTGTGTTATTTCCACTTTTATTTATTTAAATTTCTAATTACTGCTTGATTTCAGAACATGGTACATAACATCTATTCAAATCTGTTGGAGGATGGGTATTCCTGGGATACCACTAAACAGTAAGTGACATTGTTTGTATTGATATATTCCATTACTAGTCTTTTTTAGCATTCAAAACTAAAATGTTATTGAAATAGCCTAGTTTCCCTAGTATATTTATATTCCATGGTTACAGGTATTCTAAAGATAAAGTACTGTAATATGGCTGTAATTAATTTTTGCTAAAAGGACTTTTTGGGTGTTTTGTATGGAATTTATTTTCACTGATTTTTGACGAGTTGAATGTAAAATAAAAAAAAAAACTTGTATTGGCTGGATTTTATTTTCACTGAATCATTCCTTCAGCAAAAACAGCGAAACTTAATTCAGAGTGAAAATAAAGTATTTTACAGTATTCAGTTTTGCAAGATGCACTATAATTTCAGTAGTATTGCTATTAGTTGCATAATCATAGTGTTTAGCTGATGTGACAAGTTTAGTTTATAGATATCCATTAACAATACAGTGTGATGTAATAGAATTTTTATTCCAAAACCTTGTGACTATTTTAGGTTTGGTAGTGAGTGCAACATGGCAATTACAAATAAAATTAAAGAAGCTGCCAGAAGCCAGTTGCAGGGTAATTGTGAAGACTTTGTTTTAGGTGAGTGTTTTTTTATCAAAATAGTTATAATCAAGATATCACTTGTTTGTAGAGCTTGTTGTTCAGAGTGGCGTCATAAGCTCAGATCATCCATCAACTGAAGGCGAGTGGGTACTATGCACAGAATTCTCCACAAGGGGTTTTAACGGGATGCCACACCCCGTTATCTAAAATTAGCGCCCTGTTTAAATTGTCAGCGCACTGCTATATTTCCTGTGCCCCTTGCTATCAGACAAAGAATTGTTTACAAAACAGACCATCACTCATTGTCTCCCGAAGATGATTCATCGTGCTAAGGGTAACTGGGTCACTATTTTAGGGTGCAACTGTGAAAATTATTCTTTTAAGTATGTATTTTTTAGCTCCGCTGTCGACTTTGTCGAGCGGAGCTTATCATATGAGTGATTGTCCGTCGTCGTCCGTGTCAATGTTTTACTTTTTCGACTTCTTCTTGAAAACTACAAGCCTGAATGCTTTGATACTTGGTGTATATGTACCTTGGGTAGACCTCTCTCAGATTTGTTCATTTCATGATGATATCTTCAATTCTCTAATTTTGGTGAATATTTTTGTCATTTTTAGTAAAAAGTGATATTTTCGACTTCTTGTTGAAAACCGCAAGTGCAATTGCTTTGATATTACATATATAGGTACTACATGTGGACCTCTCTCAGATTTGTTCATTTCATGATGATATCTTCAATTCTCTAATTTTGGTGAATATTTTTGTCATTTTTAGTAAAAAGTGATATTTTCGACTTCTTGTTGAAAACCGCAAGTGCAATTGCTTTGATATTACATATATAGGTACTACATGTGGACCTCTCTCAGATTTGTTCATTTTGTAATGATATCTTTAATTCTCTAATTTTGGTGAATATTTTTGTAATTTTTGGTAAAAAGTGATATTTT